TTCGTTAGTTTCTCAAAAGTAAATTTGCAAATCAATAAAAAGAGATGGGAACCACTCACATTATACAACTCCATATGTTGAGAGGATGAAAGGAACTCGTGGAAATGGGGGGAAATATTTATCATTGAGGGTTATGGTAATTACAAAAATTCCGCAAACATATAGAATCACAGACACCTCTTGAGCTTCACTTTTATTTTACAATTTTACGCACCCTTATCAGTAGGTGAAATTTTCAAAAAATATTTAAAACTGAATAGTTTATAACCTATAAAACGTAATTTGCCTACTGGATTCTAAAAATAAAAGCATCAAAATATTGCTCATCTATAAATCAAAATGGCAGCATCTAAAGATTGTGAAAATTTAGCCATGTACATAATCCATGAGCAATCAATTTGTATCTGCTCCTGGTTCACGTGTGTAGCCCTTGAGCGAATCCCGATTCACTTTTTTGGAGAAGATCTTATTTGCTGAGATGGAGACTGGAATAGGGTTCAACATAGTTTGATCAAGAAATAAAATTCCATCAACAAAAACGTATAAATGGTAGCAATTAAAATCGTAAAAAAAATATATTTGAAGATTAAAACTAACAAATTCGAGCACTATGAATAATCAATATCTGAAATTGTTTTGGCATAAATTGGAATACAATATGCAGGGCAAATAAACTGAATTTGAAGTGAATAACTAACAATACCATAGGTTATTTCAGAGAAGGATATGGAGATACAACGGGGAAATTGGGTTTGCATTCACGTCTTGGGGATGTAAAACACTTGAAGTGTTCCCTGCATACACCAACAAATTATCCAATTAGAGGTATAGAACCACAATGGACTACTTTGTATTACATAACCATGTTCTTCATCACGCCACTAAAGATTAAAAAATAGAGGATATGTATTAGATTACCGCTCATCCTAAAATGAATTTGTTAGTGAACTGCATATTTGCACCTGCCACCAGTCAAATAAATTAACTATATCAGCCATATAAATTATGTGGAAGTGTTGATCCACACATATAAAAATGCCAACACTTTTGTTAAAAGATGTCTACCTTTTGTTAAAATAAAATTATTAAAAAGGCAGACTCATGACAAATGCCTATGTAGTTGAGAAATTATATATACCATGTCGTACAATCATTCTTCCTAGCAGTCCATGATGAAAGAACAAATGTACAATGAAAGAAATAAAAAGAAAAAGAAATCAATACAAATTACGCAACCAGAAACATATTCAGTCCAAACTCATGAACATCATCAATTCGAACATTAATCTCTAACTACTACTAATATAAAACTTAGATATCATTTGTAAATAAACAATTGTAAAATTATTTATTTTGAAACTACAACACATGAATTATTGCATTTTTCTTAAGGTAGCCATCTTCTTATAGGTGAGCAATGAAGCGATGACGAAGATCATCTTCTTATAAGTGTGCAGACCAATTATTCAATCATTTAGAACAATGGTGCTAGATTTTAATTCTCACACTCTTTAAATACAAAAAATTATTCTAATTCTAAAAATATAATAGTATAAAATCAGAAGATTCATTACCGAATAAAAGAAATATTTCGATGAAGAAAAACAAATTGGATATTCAGACATGCACAAACCCATTTATTCGAGAAATTCGAGGAAACCATGAATAAACAAATATTTGGATGAAGAAAAACAAATTGGATATTCAGACACGCAGAAACCCATTTATTCGAGAAATTCGAGAAAACCATGAATAAGAAGTGTGAGAGAGACATAGTTTAAAATTGTAGAGAATTACCTGAAGAACACGATTAAGAATCGATGAAAGAACAACAGACGGAGACAAAAAGAATAGAAGAAGTTGTAGGCGTGGAAGATAAAATTGAGAAAATAAAGGAAACATGGAAGAAGATGAGCCAAAAAGAACGCGACTGTATAGAGTTATCTGTGTGCAGTTTGAAATCCCTGCGTGCGTTTTTTTTTTAATAGATAAATAAGAGTTTATTGCAATTACTACCCCTGTGAAAATCGCAACTGCGTGTTTCCCCCCTATCATAAAAAAATTAGCAAATAACCCCTTGTATTTATTAGTCAAAGGCGAAAACCCCCTGGTCGCAAATCGTGTGTCTCACGCGCGGTTTCTGCGATTTTTCTTCCTTTTGTTGCAGGAAATGACAAAATTGCCCCCAACTAATTTTTTTCTTTTTCTTTTCCCTTTTTTTACAGTATCGCTCTTTACGTATTTCTGAAAATCATCGTAACTCATTCTTGGCAACTCATTCGCGTTCTTGCGAAACTCCTCTTCTTCGGATAAATTAGCACCGAAAACTTGCTCGGTACGTAAAGCTTCCGCCTTTCGACACCACTTCCTTTAAATTCAACCTCTTTAATATACCTGCAACCCTTTCATTCAAACCCCTTTTCCCCAAATTCTCCGTCTCCTTCAATATATGTGTACAGTTTGTTACCGACTAAATACTTTGGTTCGATTTGGCTGGAATTTTCCTTCAAAACCTTGGTCACGAAATCCTCATCTCCGGCGCCGGAATTTACTGATGGCTTTGAATTTGAAGCGGCTCTCGGCAAAAGAACACGTGGGCGGCTATGGGGTTGCAATTTCTTGGTGGGTTTGAGAGAGAAGTGCCAATTCTTTTGTGTTCTTTGATTTGGGGGGAAATTGATTAAGGGTTTAGCAAATCCCAGTGGTGTCGAATACATTGTTGAGCTGAAACTATACTGAAATTAGGGTTTTGGGCATTCTTAATTTGGGGACGAAATCTCAGAATTTCATTAGGATAAAAAAAATGCAAAAAAAATGAGAGTTCGTCGGAAAATAAACACCGACCGAATTTCAATAAAAAAAAACGTGTTATTTTCCTTTTGTTAAATAAATTTTAAAAATTGCAATTTGATTCAAAGTTTTGAATTATTTATATTTAAATTCAATTCGATTAATGTTTATTTGTATAAGAATTTTCTTTGCTTATGTTTTAATATTTGTACTTAATATTATTAAACGACTAATTATAATATTAATTTACATTTCTAATTATTTTTCAGTTTCTAAATAATTTTAAAATTTAATTCAGCTCCAAAATAGTGTTTTCAGCCCCACAATTTTATAAATATTATGTGTTTTCCTGAAAATTACAATTCAGTCCCCTAACTTATTATTTGATTAAGTTTCTACAATTTTTCACTATTTCAATTTGGTCCCCAAGTTTTTTTGCAGGAATCTCCCAGGGTATTCCTGTCTTTTCACAACCGGTCAACAAGAAAAAAGAAAATGGGTCGAGTATGCTATCTAAAACTAAATACAGGGGGGTATTTGCTAATTTTTTTATGACAGGGGAGAAACACGCAGTTGCGATTTTCACAGGGATAGTAATTGCAATAAACTCAGATAAATAACCCCAATGTGACAACAAAACTACAAAAACTACCCCTAGGGTTTGAAACCCTAAAAATTGCCACGTGTCGCAATATTATGCCATAGATTGTCTTTATATATATATATATAGATATGCCTAAGACATAAATTTTGAATTCCGCGAGTTTCTATACGAATATTTCCAATTTTGAAAAAAAAAATTTACTCAAAAAAAAAAAAAAAAAAAAAAAAATTATTCAAATCTACATAATTTTTTGCACGTTGAAAGTTACTGAAAATTAAATAGATGGTTTTCTAGAGAGAAGTTCTGAAATTCTAATTTTATTGAATGGATCGGAATTGAAATTAGGGTTTGGTCGCTTTTGTGCTTTGCTCCCGAAACAAAAAAAAAATTTGCACGATCATACCTGAACTCGATTATTTGGTGCACCGATCAAGAAGTTGGCTGTTTTTGGCCAATTTGTTGCGTGGATAGCGTACGTATCATTCCCACGTATTTGGGTGAGGGTAAAATAGCCAACTCACTCATCACTTATTTACGTGAAGCCCACGCCCTTCAAAAGACCCCATCTCTTCAATGGTTGGGATTTCGTAAACTCGATCATGTTCTATGGTTGCAGAAGAAGATGATGATTGTGCATTCCTCTTTTCTCTTTTTTCTTTTTTCTTTTTTCTAACAACCTTGTGAATTGACAAACTTGCCCCTCTATTCGCACGTGTGTATCACATGTGTGCAAGTCAGGCAATAATATTGCCAAAAATAGACTTTTAAGTCACCGGTGTAACAAATTAATAAGGGGTGTGAACGAATTAACAAATTAATTCGCACGCATATACAATGAATGTGTATAAAATGAGAATGTATAAAACTTTGAATGAATCTTTTATTTCATAACATGAGATTAGGGGTGTGAACGAGCCGAGCTCGCCTCCTTTGACAGGCTCGAATTCGAGTCTATTTTGTCGAGCTCGAGCTCGTTGAATTCATTCTTTTTTGGCTCGAGCTCGAGCTCGTTCCATTTTGACTAGATCGAGCTTGAGCTCGAGCCCAAGCTCATTTTGTTGTTGTTTTTTTTTTTTTTTATATTTTTTTAATTATTATTAAAAATTATTTTTTTAAAAATTACAAAATAAGCAATAAATTGTAATTATATATATTTTTTATATTTTATTTTAATTTATCTCTACAATATTTTATATTATTATACATTATTTAAATAAAAAATAATATATAAAAAAAAAAAAAAAACTGGCTCGAGCTCGAAATTAAAAACTCGAGTCCGATTTCGAGCATTTTTTGAGCCGGCTCATCGAGCTCACGAGTCGGCTCGGCTCGTTTTACCACCCCTACATGGAATATTCCATTCTTATAATTGATTCGTATCAAACTATAAACAAAATAGTAATAACAATAGAAAAGCACATATAATCGAATTAGTTTCTTGAAATATTAACAAAAATCATAAAGAAATATAAATAAATTCAAATAAACTCCAAATAACATTGCCATATTATCTGAAAAAATGAGAAAGTAATATCATTTTTCATTAGGTTTTCTATTTTTAAATCATAAATGATTTTTTTCCCCTCAAAGCTCAAAGGCTGAAAAACCAGTTGTTTGTAGAAAAAAAAAAAACAGAAAAAAAAAAGTAGGCTAAATCGATCGATCCGCCCACAACATCTGCTTTTCAATTCTATCATTCCAATTTATAATATGCCCGTAAGTGTTTGATTCCCCTCTCTCTTAATTTTCTCTCTCTCTCTCTTTTTTTTTTCCTGATCATGTTTTGATTATGAAATTCTCCAGATCCTTGATTCACCCATTATTGCGCTAAACAAAAAAATTAAAAAAAAATCTTATGTTGTTTGTTAGTCATATAATAGAATTGATTTGGGTTAATTCGAATTAATTGTGTGTAGAATTAAATGTGGGTTTTTTTTTTTTTTTTTGATTGATTGATTAATTTTGTAGTAGTGGTGATCGATTCAGTTGAGGAGCGTTGCGGTAGTAGAATTGATTTGGGTTGATTCGAATTAATTGTGTGTAGAATTAAATTTGGGTTTTTTTTCTTCTTTTTTTTTTGGTGGCTGCAATTGATTGATTTTGTAGTAGTGGTGATTTGATTCAGTTGAGGAGCGTTGTGGTAATGGAGGTTGAGCCGCCGAGCGTAATGAGGTACTTGATCGGATGTGCGATAATGATGGCGGGAGTTGTTTTGCCGGTTGGGTATATGATGTTTCGCAATAAACGAGCTCCTTCTTCTTCTTCCTCTTACTCCAAACAGACGTAGGTGTGCTCCCCCTTTCTCCCTATTTTTATTTGTAATCATTTTAATTAATCAAGAACTCGTCGGTTGTTTTCGTTCGTGTGTGTGTTTGTGAATTGTAGTAGTGGAACCCGGGTTCTACAATGTGTTTTATGCAGGCTGCAATTGTTTTCGGATTGTGGGATTTAGTTCTTCATGCATATGTGAAATGCTGTCATTCTTTTTTACGATTTATACTCGAGAGCGTTTGGGTTTTCTTTTTTCATGTGATCTGGTTTTGTTTCCACTTTTGGTATTTGTTCGGTGCATCATCTGCATTAGGTTTTTCAAGTGGGAGTCGAGCTAGTGAGAAAATGTGTCATGATTTAGTGTACTGCATACGAGTTGATCTTCATCGGATGATCGTTTTTCTATTTTTTTTTATTATTATTATTTTATTTGCAGGAACAAGGTTTTGATATAAGATTTGTTCCGAAAGCCCAAGATTAATTGATGGGCCGGGTGGTGCCATTTAAACGAAAAAAAATGGGAGAGAGAAGATTTCCGAGATATATCTGCGAATTGCTTGTACATGTTCAAAAGATACATGTTTTGTTCACTTTGATTATCACGGCTAAAAACTTGATATATTTGTTGTATTTTGTATCAACATTCGTGTTATCTATCTGCATTCACTTTTTCTAAGACATTTTCGTGTTTGTTCATAGTACTCGTAACTTGAAACTTCTTCTCTTTAAATTGATAGTTACTTCTTTGAGCTTATTTGCATATGATCAAGAAACACTTTTCCTCCTTACATAATAGTTATATCTCGAATTGCTAGTGTTCTAAATATTATAAGTGATTTGGGTATCTGAATTTACGGTTTTGTGTATTAGTCTTTTAATATTGGAATTGTGATGCTTTTGGTGAAGTCATTGCTAAGGATATGTTTGGAGAACAAACATATCCTTAGCCTATTCAAAGTTAGTGCTAGTTGCTTCTTAACACGCTAAGTTCTATCAACATACGGTATCTGACTTGATTGTTGGCGTTCGGCCAACGTCGAGCTTGTGTGCAGTGACTCGGTTCTAGATCAACTTGTTAGCTCGAATGACTATCGAGCTACCCAACTTGAGTGATGCTGAAAATTCTATTCTAGTCTTTTACGACCCCTTCAATTTCCGCTCGATTAGGATTATATAGAAAAAAGAACCATCAAGCATTCATTCAAAGTTTCTGATTTTTCTCGATTCCTATTTGAAAATTTTCAAATTTAGAACAATAGTTTTCATTCCATATTCCAAAGATTGCAATTTTTTTATTTTTTTTGGAGTCTTTTGGGATTAGAATTGGGATTCACAGATTTCAATCTTATTCTAATTTCCAAACATTCCAATATCCTTTCAAGAAAAAGTACACTTCAATATCAAAAATATTATGTGCTTTAATTTTAGGTTACTAAAAATTGGTATTTTCCAAGAATTCTGCTGATTTCGATCTGAGATGACTTCCGTTTTTCAATGTTTTTTAGTTTGGAACATAATAGAATTAGCTATTCATCTCCTAAAAAATATTCCATGTTTTCGTGGTTGGGAGCCGTGGCCTCCCTAGACCTATATCCGGCCTTTGGCTCCGCCCCTGCTTTAAAGTATTTTATACCATTCATCCACACACAAAAACACACATCTACGTGGATGACGTGGTAAATTTGTATAGTTTCATAATCACACTAATAAGTTATAACAGAAAATAGTAAAATTAAAAAAAAAAATGATCTCAACCAGAAGGGAATTATAATATCAGTAGATGCAAATGTGCTTACCATTTATAAAAATGATTCTAATTCGTAAGTTCAACCATCCACAGTGCATCAAATGGAAACGGAAACATCAAAAGGATCGATCAGTCAGCATACAAATAGCGAAATTAAAATTTAGAACACCCTCAGCTCCTTCATCCATCACCGAACAAAGTTCATATAAAAAAGTGGCCAAAATAAAGTGGCTCCTTCAGTCGCGCTCGCTTATAGCAGTGAGGTGCTCGTCAATTTCATCGGTTGACAATACTTTGAAAACCGGATCTTCTTTTCTCACCACCCCAACCTGCCAACAATCATAACATTTAGTGCACTACCAAACTAAATGTTTTTTATAACTTCAGATGCACAATTTCAACAGCAAACTTATTCACAAAAATGGTACTATTAGTAAAAAAAAAGTTTACCTCAATCTCACTGGCCTTGAAATCTTCCTGTAGAACAGATTGCAGAGCCGAAATTGCAGTCTACAAATACATATAAATGAGAGGTGAAAAACAAAGATAAAAACTCTTCCCTTACTTTCGAAAGGAAATGAATCAGACAATATATAAATCAAGTTAAATTGCCTTCCATATAACCACTTTCCGTTTTACATAGTTAACCTATGACATTCAGCTTGCATAGTATAATAGCCCCCACAAATTGTTGGCTTTGAAATATTTTAGCAAAATTCCACTTTCCAACAGATATACTCTATAATAGAAACAAGCAACCATATGAATAGTACACATGTTATGAAACTAGATAATGCACATTTTTAACTGTACGAAAACAATCAATCAGAACAGGATCTTAATTGCAAACGTTCATAAAGTTGTCATGTACAATATGAATTTTCTTTTACCTGTACAGTTTCATCATACGAGAAAGCAGGATCATTTTTCATCTTCTTTTCTAAGAAGTTAACGGCCTCTTGCTCTTTCCCTCCAGCACTTGTTGCCTGTCAAAAAACATAAGGGATCGTTTATATTTCAACCAATAACAGACCTGTAAAGATAATAATGCGTTCACCTTTTGAAAGTCAAGTAGACTATGGATCTTACACCTTAGAATTGTTTAAAAATGATGCTAGAACTTAATGAAGGCACATAACATATTTTATCACTGATAAACTACTTGCATATGATACAGCATCTATGAAATTAAAAGTCAATGGAGAATAGAATCGCAGCCCACAACAAATCATACGGATCCGCTTCTTATTCTCCCACGAGCAAGCAAATACAGGAACTCAAAAAGGGTCACGAAGAATGTAAATAAGCACTCTCGTAGCGGGCTAATTATCAGAAACTATATATTTGATGTAAAAAAATTAAGCAATGTGTTTTGGTTTTTACGATTCAGGGAGTCTGAGGAAGTTATAAGATTCTAAAGATTCCTTCAGTAGACAAACATCCCATTGGATGTCCGCAAGCATTTGAGACAGTATACAAATGGAGACATTCATTAAAGTATATGCATCTGAGGCAATAATGTCAGAATACGAGACAAAAATGAAATTATGAAGGGGAAAGAAAGGCAAATTTGGAAGAACGGAAAGTTTCATAACAGAGATGGGAACTTCCTTATTACCTTATGACCAAAAAAATGACCAGCAGGATCACACTTGAAGAGCTGTGGACCTTTCTCTTCGTCAATTCCCAATATCATGGCCACTGCATTGATACAAACGAGAAAATTAAAGAAGAGAAACAAAAAAATTGGAGATGAAACATTGAAAAGATCCATTTGCCAAGTGAAGTGAATAATTACAAACCTACGCCAAGTGGTCTCATATAGGCATGCTGTGTGTAAACCTGAGACTTGTCGGCAATCCTGCATTGCATTGCACACACTTACAAAGAAAATACACAGAGGATTGCAGTGTTTAAAACACAGAGCATGGTGTTTCCAAGGTGATGGCGGTGAATGCAGTGTTTAAAGGGTGAAAATACACACTTGAAAAAACACTTTAAAACACTCCATTCACCACCCTCTTCATTCACTTTTACACCACCATCACCATGGTGAGATGAGAGGGGTCAGATAACTAAATGTATTTTTTTATAGTAGGAGGTGGATGAAGGGTTTTACTAGAAAATTTGTTATGCTATAGTTGATTTGACAAAAAAGAGTAATAAAGGAAATATGATGTCATAAATTGAGTTTTTTTAATTTAAATATCATGATAAAAGGTGGTGAACTGAGAGTTCTGAAGGGTGGAAATAGAACCACACTTTTATAAACTTAGTGGTCCAGCAGTCACATATAGTTGGGTAGCTACATAATTCTAGGATTTCATAATTGAAGGCACATGCCACTATATCCAACAAATTGTATGAGCTCTATCAATCGCTAAGAGAACATATTAGTTGGCAAAAATACTTGTCTTACACAAATATAAAAGAGCAAAAGCAGGTACAAAGGGCATTTAAATGAACCAAGACAGATTTATTAGTTAAGTAAATATACCATCGGGCCAATACGTCAGCAGGCATTTCGTATCCATATCTAAAACGAAACTCAGCAGCCTCGTTCCTCGCTTGTTGAACCAAAGTCCTCGCATCAGCTGGAAGCAAAAAGGAATAATTAGAAGTAGCTACTAAACTAAGAAGATAAGAAGGAAGCAAGCTTAGAACTACCCAGAATATTTTTTTTCCACCACAAGCACATGGACTCAAAACGAAAAACAAGCTTCAATCGAAACCTTGCTTTCTCAAATGTAATTAAGAGCAAAATACACTTCGACCAGCTAAAATGCATCTCTGCTTACACCAACTAAAACTCAGTTACTTCAATACCTTGCACTTCTTTTGCTAACCATCACCCAGTACCAAAATAAAATTGGCACTTCAAATTCTTGGCATTGTCTCAAAAGTTAATTCCATAAGAGATTGATTATGAATAACACATCAACTTGCAAAGCCAAATCTCAATTATTAAAGAATTACAATAATTTATTTTCATCATCCCAGTTCATAAAAAACTTATTATAACCTAAAAATAATAATTCAAAGCCAAACAAAAAATTACCTGTCATGCCAGTAGCTAAGAGACCGAGGTACTTAGTAATCGGAAACAAATGGGTGACGCTCGTCTGATCCAGAAGTTTGTCCTGCTCGTGTTAATCGTATTACAAATTATAAGTAAATCCCAATTTTAAAAGACAAAATATACACAATAATATTAAGAACCCTAAAAGGGAGAAAAATAACAACCGGAACTTTCTTCTGAGTAACAACGCACACTGAATCGGCTCCGCGAACGCCAATCGAGGTTATCCCAGCAGCCTTAACAGCCTTGAAAGCATATTCTGCACAAATTTATACCAACAAAAAACACATAAACCCTAATTTCACCCCCAAAATAAAAAATTAAAAAAAAAGTAGATCACCATATCACCTGATTCCAAAAGTAGTGATTTTAGTTGGGAAAAAAACACAGACAGGAAAAATGGAGGTCGAAAGAAATATGCTTACCGACTTGGTAGAGACGACCTTCGGGAGAGAAAATGGTGATGTGGCGATCGTATCCGCCTCCGCTTCCACGGCTCATTCTTCAATTCTTTACTTGGAACAACGATTTGATTTGATTTGTTTGGGGTTTTCTGCACTGTTTGATTTTCGTTGTTGATTCAGAGGAAATGAGAGCGAGAGAGTGAGGAATTGGGTTTTTTTTATGCGAAGAGGCTTTGTGCCCAAGACAGAAGAAAGGACCAGCACTGCAATTACCAAAACCCTCAGGCTCCTTTTTGTTATTTTGTAATTATTTAATTTTTTAATCCTTAATTTATTTATTTTTTGACATATATTTATCGGGATCACTATTTCAAATCCCAACTTTTGCTTACTTGAATACCAAAAAAATAAAAAATAAATAATTAATTGTAAATTACTTTAATGCCCTTAATGAAAATTAAAACCAAAAACATATTACAAATACTATTTTTCTTTCTTAAATACCAAATAATCAAAACCCTAAAAAAAAACATTTCCCTCCTCACTCACAAACCCCTCACCTCCTCCACCTCCTTCTTCTCCCACCCCAAAAACCCTCCTAAAAAACCTCAAAACAAAAGAAATCAAAACCTTACACAACTTGCAAAATGGCGTCAAATGACAATAGAATGGTAGTTTACGAGCAAGGAGAACCCATTAAGGTATGTATTCATGTATTTTTTGAGCTAAAACATCGATTTTGATTTTTTTTTTTTTAAACTCGCCATCAATTTTCGACACATACAGGTCGAAAATATGCTTATTTTTCGACATGTATGTGTCGAAAAACATAACAATTGATATTTTATTCATTTTCGATGACCCATGTTTTCGACACTTTAGTGTCGAAACTGACCTCTATTTTCGACACTTAAGTGTCAAAAATTTGGGTCATTTTCGACACTCAAGTGTCGATTTTGTTCCTGCTCGCAATCAGAGGTCTTTCTCTCTCTAGAATTTGTTTTAATTATATGAATTAATTTGTGAAATTATGTATAGATGAAGCAGGTGGATTGGTAATTCGATTCCTCATCATAATTCTGATTACAAATTGAAAAGCAAGATATGATTATTACCAATACCAAATGAATTTCCTCACTGTTCGTATATAGTATTGATTGGGGCTGGAATAATAGGAACTGGATGAGTTTTCTGTTGATTTTTCCTAAATGTTTTTTGTGTGCAAAATTGCAATTTGATCCTAAAATTTGATCTTTTGGCACTCTATTATTTCACTGTTGAATCAGAATCGTCACAGCTGGTTCAATTCCACCTCTAATGGAGCTACTCAAACACCAAAACAGCCATCTTCGAGAATTAGCTGCCGCCGCAATTCTGTCACTATCATCGGCCGAATCCAATAAATCAACCCTAGCTTCTTCATGTGCACCGAATCTGCTATCACAGGTCCTATGCTCCGGCAGTGTTCAAGCAAGAGTCGATGCAGTCACATCCCTCTACAATCTCTCCACATCCGAACACGAACCAAAGCTTGTACTCGATGCTAAAGCAGTAGTACCTCCTCTAATCAGCCTCCTAAAAGAATGCAAGAAGTACTCCAAATTTGCCGCGAAAACCACTTTCCTACTCGAGATCCTCTCCAGTTCCGAACAAGGCAGGGGTGCAATTACAAATGTGGATGGTGGGATTAGTTTTATTACACTAGTAGTGGATCATGCAAGTCCGAAAGAAATGTCGTGTTCTTGATATTGCTGACAAATTTTGCATTGGAATTTTAAGGTCGTAAAGAGGTTGTTTTTTTGTCTCGTTTAATTGTCGCTTGCTTCTAATTTATTTTGCGAATGGAGCTTTGCATTCCTCTGTTCAACATGGTTGCAAAATTTCATGTATGAAAAAATAAATAATAGCCTGAGTCAGAAATTTATCACTCTATAGTCTATACAAACCATAACAAATTCAGAAATGCCAATGTAACAACTTCTGTACAATAGTTAACATTTGATCCCGGATAAATAATGATTATAGCCTAAAGTAAAATCGAAATAAAATTACTAATGAAGAGAAAGAGAAAGCAAAAACAAAGGTAGTAAGCAAGCATTAGAAGATGATATGAAAACCAAATAAAAAAAAAATCTATTGATTCTCGAAGGTAGAGCCGGCACCGGATTCGTTGACGAAGAACCCTCTCCAGACTTCTTCTTGGTCGTGGTCTTTTTCTTGATCGTGATTGCCTTGCCCTTGCCTCTATCGGATAATTCCTTCCTCTTCTTACGGTTCGAGACAGTCGGAGGTATACGAGGTTCACGTGGTTCTTCCACTGCAAAATAACACACAAATAAAAATTAGTATACATAATATAAACACAAGCAAATAAAAATAGGAAAGAAAACAAATTAATAATTAAAAAAAAAAAAATTACACATATATAATTCGACAGGTAGCTGTCGAAAATTCATCAAAATTCGACAGATAGCTGTCGAAAATTGGTTGAATATTCGACAGCTAGCTGTCGAAAACTCATCCAAATTTCGACAGCTATCTGTCGAATTATCGAAAATCCAATTTCAAGATTTCACATTTTCCGACACCTATATGTCGATTTTTGAAGTATTTTCGACATCAACCTGTCGAACATTCATCAAAAATCGACATATACAGGTCGAAAATTGTGAACGAAGAACCGACCCACGAATCTCAAATCAATGCTCAAATCGACTGAAATCAGATGCACCCATTACTAATTAACGATCATTTTAACCTAAAACAACCAAATCCTAATTACCCATATCAAACAATCAAATCTTAAATAAATATTAAAGAAAAAAAAAATCGAAACAAATATTACTTGTATTCGAAGACGATGACGGCGGCGGCCTTGGGCGACGTTGGGCGGCGTTCGGCGGTGTTTGGCGTCGGCGTCCGGCGGCGGCGAGGGTTGGAGCGGCGGCGGAGTCCAGCGGCGTGGGAGGGGTGGACGGAGGTTTGAAGGTTTTTTTTGTGTTTGAAGGTTTTTTTTTTCTTTTTTTTTATTTGGTTTTCAAATAGGTAATTTCAAAGAAAAATTGATATAATTAATATTTTGTATGAAAGGGTGTTTTTGTACTTTTTTTTTTATTTTGGTATTAAAGTAAGAAAAAAACTTATAAATATGTACTCAATTGTGGTTTTCAACTTGGTAGTATTCAAGTAAGCAAAAGTTGAGATTTAAAATAGTTGCCCCCATATTTATCGGGTATTAAGATATAAGTCCAGGTGACAAACCTTATTACAACTAAATGACAAGTCTAATTAAAATTTGATTCACATCTTTTATTAAATTTATTCAAAAAATACTCTTCCACTCACAAATTCAAAACTACAGCAGATTGTAAATATAATATGATGAACTATGGTATTATTTAACATTTTTAAGTTTGCATCTAGCATTATTTTATTCTTTTTAGGTGGAACACGTTTTTCTTTTATGTGTTTTTTTTTTCATTTTTCGTATTTTTTCATTAAATAAAAATCTTTTTTTGTTTCCTTCTTTTCTATATAAATTGAAAATTATTTTTTTTTGTGAATTTTTTTCAATCGTAGACATCTACAGAAACCCATAGGAAACCGTAATAATCCGTAGTCACCCACAGACATCTTGAAATCCTAATTCCGCCTTTGAACCCTAGCCGCCAGCCAGCCATAGACAACCATAGACACCTACGAAAATTCAGTAGTCATCCAAAAATAAAATCCTAGATCTACAACCACCATCGCCCTAGCCACCAAAATAAAAACATAGATTTGCAAAATCGTCACCATAGCCGCCACCACCTCCATATTCATCGCCTCCCGGCCCTTCCTTATTCCCATAAGCACCCCCTTGCGACCACCACCAGCCCTAACCGTCTCCATAACTATCTCCACCATACCCACGATCTCCATAGCCGCCGCAACTCACCATAGCCGCCTCGCCTCCATAACCAACGCCACCATACCCACCGCCTCCCGCTGCTACTTACCATAACCACCGTCATAGCATCCACAACCGTAACTAAATTTAACATTTACTATATTCAGATCTGTTAAATAGAATAGAAAAAAAGAAAAAGAAGGAGTGGGGTTGGGATGAGAAACAAACGAGAAACAGGGGGGGTGGGGGTTGTGAGAGAGAGAAATGAGAAAAAAAAGAGATAAACGTGATTTATATTAGTTATTGTAAGGGTATTTTTGGATTAAATAAAAATCAAAGAATGCGTATCAATTTTAATTTTAAAGTAGAGATGTAGTTAAAATATTCTATTTGAGCTTGTCACTCATATTTAATTAAGTTTGGTTTAAGGAGTGTGAAACATATTACCCCTATATTTAATCCCAAATATTTTTATGTACATCTTTAATTTGTATTAATTGGTCAAAACTCAAAATTACCGCATCCTAATGGATCAATGATAAATTTATAACGATAAAATATTAAATTTATTGATATTTGTTGCAAATCATTAGCTCAAATATCGATCCGACATTGGCAGGAGGTTAAAACAGGATTAATGACAATGGAGATAGCTAAAATTCACAATTGGGAAAAGGGGTTCTTTGCCATAATCCGCCAATACTTTTTTTAACGGGGATAGGCCCAAAATATTTTAGACCATTTAAGAAAATCCCATGTTTCAATTTCAGCCATTATATTTTCCAGCTTTACCCCCGCCCGCCACCTCATCACTGGGTCACACGCTTCGCGATTTCTTTTTTTTTTTTTCCGTTTTTTTTAATCGACTATGAAGCACAGTCGATTAGTCTAAATCGACTGTGCTTCATAGTCGATTAAGGAAATTCTTTATTTTTAAATTTTTTTTTTGTTCTTTAATTTTTTTTATATCAGATTTATTAATTGACTAGGATGAAGCATAGTCGATCAAAAGTGTGCTACTAAAAATAACAAATCAAAACTGCAAAAAAATGCAAAATCAACTATATTTTACAAAAAAACAAAAATATAAGAACATTATAATTGATTTATACAATTGAAATCAATAAAAAAAAAACAAAAAAAAAAAGATTGAAGTCGATCAACCTTAATCGATACCAGCGCATAGTCGATTAAGAATCTGCTACTAAAAATAACAAATCACAACTGCGAAAAAATGCAAAATCACCTATATATTACAAAAACAAAAAATATACAAACATTATAATTGATTTATACAATTGGAATCAATATTCAAAAAATCCGAAAAAACTAAAAAAAAAATTGGAGTCGATCAACCTTAACTAATCGACTACCAGAACATAGTCGATTAGCTTAATCGACTATGAATATGTACATAGTCGATTAAGGTTTCAGCCTGCGCGAAACTCTCTACACGTGCCGTTATCCGCCCAATCCAACAAAAAACCCTTAATCTGCCTCCCCATCGTCACTACACCGCTGCCACAATACACTATTCAACCAATCCCTAACAAGAATAAAATTCCAGACGCGAATGGAGAGATTGGGGAAGGTTTTCGAAATTTCAAAGAGGAGGAAGACGACGAACCACTCGTCTTCGAGGTTGTCTCCGAAGCGGAGGTGGCGGGAGAGATGGGGAACGGGGGAGGGGGTTATGGAAAGTAAGAACGGCTGGTGTTGCCAGATGTATGCGTCGGTAAACTGGGCGATGTGGTGGAGGATTTGAAGATGCAGTGACTACAGTTCCTCGGCGACGGCGGAAGAATCGGGGAAGGTGGAGTAGAAGGCGGTGTCGTCCGGCGGTCCGGATTTTTTTACGGAGAAAATTGACAAGAAGGAAGAGCAATCGGCTGGTGCTGCCATGGCTGCGTGGTTCTGAATCTGGTGAGGTGATTTATCGAAGGTTTTGGGGGAAAATATTGACGAATGGGTTAGGATATTGAATAGATAGTAAGGGTGGTTTGGAAATTATTAAATAATATTTGAGTAGGATATTAGGTAATGGGGTTTTCCCTAATTATTTTTGGAAGGATGTGTTTTCTTAACTCATTTTCCTAGATGAGGGGGTTCTAGCTAATTATCCCTTGGGAAAATATAATATTAGAATGCGATTCCTTAGTGGTAATATCAGCCATTAAAGATGCCTCGAGTTCTCGAGCAGAATATGGTAACATTATAACAAATATACAGAGGTTGGGAGCAATTTTACCAAAGTTTAGAGCTCAACACGTTCGACGAAATGGTAATAAAGCAGCCCACGAAATAGCGACTTTGTCAAAGAAAAAATCAAACTTTATTCATAGATTACCTGATGTGGTTTTGGATATTGTATCATCTGATATGTTTTAAGTGAAAAACTCTTATTTTTTTCTAAAAAAAGAAAAAAGAAATTTCGATCTATTTTAAACCATGTGACCTTATTCTGAGATGTTTTAAATTATTTTGGGTGATTTTTTATTGCATCTTATAATTTATAAATCTTCTCCTCAAATATAAAAGGGGGCTCTTTGAGAAAACCCCCTCACTACTTTTTTTAATTGAGGGTGGCCCAAAATATTTTAGACCATTTGAGAAAAGCCCATGATCCAATTCAGCCATTGTGTTTCCCAGTTTTACCCCCGCCCGCCACCTCATCACAGCTGGGCACGCGCTCCAGCGATTTTTTTTTTCCGTTTTTTTAATCGACTATGAAGCATAGTCGATTAGTCTTAAATCGACTATGCTTCATAGTCGATTAAGGAAGATCTTTAATTTTTTAATTTTTTTTTTTTATTTTTTTTGATTTTTTTAATCTTTTTCTCTATCAGGTTCATTACTG